TTTCCAAGTCTTGGCTATTGTAAATATTGCTGCTATGAACATTGGGGTGTAGGTGTCTTTTTGAAGTAGGGTTCCTTCTGGATACATGTCCAGGAGTGGAATTGCTGGGTCATATGGTAAGTATATTCCTAGCTTTTTGAGGAATCTCCATACTGTTTTCCATAGTGGCTGCACCAAACTGCATTCCCACCAGCAGTATAGGAGGGCTCCCTTTTCTTCACAGCCTATCTAGCATTTGTCATTTGTGGACTTTTGAATGATAGTCATTCTGACTGGTGTGAGATGATAACTCATTGAAGTTTTGATTTGTGTTTCTGTGATAATTAGTGATATTGAACATTTTTTCATGTTCCTATTGATCATTTGTATGTCTTCCTTGGAGAATTGCTTGTTTAGGTCTTCTGCCCATTTTTGGATTGGGTTGTTTGTTTCTTTCTTATTAAGTCATGTAAGCTGCTTATATATTTTGGAGATCAAGCTTTTGTCAGTTGTATTATTTGCAAAACTTTTCTCCCATTCTGTAGGTTGTCATTTTGATTTGCTTATGGTTTCCTTTGCTTGTAAGTTTAATTAGGTCCCATTTGTTTGTTCTTGCCTTTATTTCTATTGCTTGAGTCGGCTATTCTAGGAGAACATTTTTCATATGTATGTGAGATAATGTTTTGCCTATATTATCTTCTAAGAGGTTTATTGTATCTTGTCTTATGTTTAAGTCTTTGAACCATCTTGAGTTTATTTTTGTGTATGGTGTATGGGAGTGTTCTAGCTTTATTTACATGCTGCTGTCCAATTTTCCCAACACCCCTTGCTGAAGAGGCTGTCTTTATCCCATTGTATATTCTTACCTCCTTTGTCAAAATTAATTAAACCAAAATTTGTGGATTAAGAATCAACAGTGTTAAATGGGCATACTCATCAAGACAATATACAGATTCAATGCAAGCTGTATTCATTTATCACAGAACTGGGGCAAAAAGCTAAAATTGGAAGGAAACACAAAACACCCCAAATAGCCAAACAAATTTTGAGAAAGAAGATTAGAGCTGGAGGGATCATAGTATCTGACTTCAGACTCTACTACAAATCTACAGTAATCAAAACAGTATGGTACTGGCACAGAAACAGACACATAGATCAACAGAACAGAATAGAAAGTCTAGAAGTAAACCCAAGCACTTATGGTCAGTTAATCTACAACAAAGGTGGAAAGGCTTTACAATGGGGAAAAGAGTGTCTCTTCAAAAATGGTGCTGGAAAAACTGGATGTTTACATTTAAAATAATGAAATTAGAGCATTGTCTAATACCATATACAAAAATAAACTCAAAATGTATTAAATACCTAAATGTAAGACCAGGCACTATAGAACTCTTAGAGTAAAACATAAGCAGCACACACTTTGACATAAATTGTAGCAATATTTTTTAAACCAGCTCTTAGAGTAATAAGTATAAAAGGAAAATTAAACAAATGGGACCTAATTAAACTTAAAAGATATTGCACAGCAAAGGAAATGTTAAACAAATTAAAATACAACCTACAGAATAGTAGAAAATATTTGCAAATGATGTGACCAACAAGGGACTAATTTCCAAGCTATACAAACAGCTCATATGGCTTAATAACAAAAAGAAAAACAGAAAACAAACAAACAAATAAAAAATTTAAAAAATGGGCAGAATCCCTAGACATTTATCCAAAGAAGACATCCAAAGGGCCAACAGGAAACTGAAAAGATGCTCTATATTGCTAATTATTAGAGAAATGAGAATCAAAACTGCAAATAGGTATCATCTCACACCAGTCAGAATGGCTATCATTAAAATGTCCACAAATGATAAATACTGGAGAGGTTGTGGAGAAATATGAAACCCTCCTACACTGTTAATGGGAATGTAAATTGATGCTGCCACTATGGAAGACAGTATGGAGTTTCCTTAAAAAACTAAAAATAGAGTGACTATATGATCCAGCAATCTCATTACTGGGCATATATACATAGGAATCTATAATTTGAAAAGACATGTGCATCCCAGCGTTCACAGCAGCACTATATACAACAGCCAAGACAAAAATCAACCTAAATGTTCAACAACAGATAAATGGATTAAGAAAATTATATATTTATATATATAATATATAGTGTGTTATATATATACACAATAGACTACTCAGAAATAAAAAGAATTTAATAATGCCTTTTGTAACAACATGGATAGACCTAGAGGTTATTATATTAAGTGAAGTAAGTCAGACAAAGAAATACAAATATCATATGATATCACTTATATGTGGAATCTAAAACAAATGATACAAATCATATTTACAAACCAAAATAAACTCTCTGACATGATAAACTATGGTCAACCTAATGGGAAAGGGCAGGGCAGGGATAAATTAGGAGTTTTGGATTAAATATACACATTACTATATATAAAGTAGATAAACAGCAAAGGCATACTGTATAGCAAAGGAAATTATATTCAATTCCTTGTAATAACATAATGGAAAGCAATGTGAAAAAAATATATATATATAACTGAATCATTTAGCTGTATACATAAAACTAACATTGTAATCAACTACACTTCAATAAAAACAAAATTAAAAAATGAAAAAGTGCTATCTGAAGTAGGTGCTCAGTATACATTTATGTAATGAACTTATATATCTTATGTTTTAAATGCATAGCAGAGACATCTGGTATGAATCAAATATATGAGTACATGAGTGAATGAATTAATAGATGGATGGATGAATGAAAGGTTTCACAGAGGAGACTTGATCACTTATAATTAGAGTCAGCTTAAACTATAGAGACAATTTTAGGTTTTGTATATAATAACATCAATAATTAGCATTATATCTCACTTACCTCTTCCAATATCTTCCTACTTTGACTTTCTACGTCACAAGCTAATTCTCATCACTGAATTCAGAAAGACATTTGTAAGTTAAAAATATAATTATATTACTCTTTGTTTCAAAACACATTGATGGCTACTCTCTTTCTTTAAGAAAAACACCTTGCCCCAAAAAACAAACTCATATGGACATATTTTTGCCTTCGAAATCAATGGTGGCAACATTGCCATTGATTAATAAACACCAAGTTCTCACTTTTTAGCCACACTAGATCGTCTTCCTTTAGTTTTCTCTCAAAACTTCGGTTTATGTAAATTTGTTCAAACTTTAGATTTCATTTTATTTTATTTATTTTATTTTTATAGAAGTATAGTGAGCTTACAATGTTGTGTCAGTTTATAGTGTACAGCAAAATGCTTCAGTCATACATGAGTATATATGAATTCATTTTCATATTCATATTCTCTTTCACTGTAAGCTACTACAAGATATTGAATATAGTTCCCTGTGCTATACAGTATGGACTTGTTTATCTATTTTATATATATCAATCATTACCTGCAAATCATGAACTCCCAATATATCCCTTTTTCCTCCTTCCCCCAATAACCATAAATTTGTTTTCTATGTCTGTGAGACTGTCTCTGGTTTATAAATAAATTCATTTGTCTTTTTTTTTCTTAGATTCCACATACGAGTGATATCATATGGTACTTTTCTTTCTTTTTCTGGCTTACTTCACTTAGAATGACAATCTTCTCAGCCACTCTTATTGCTGCAGAAGGCAATATTTCATCATTTTTTATGGCTGAGTAGTATTAAATAAATATACCACACTTTTTTATCCAGTCATCTGTCGATGGACATTTATGTTGTTTCTATGTGTTGGCTATTGTAAACAGTGCTGCTATGAATATTGGGGGGCTGGTGTCTTTTTGAATTTAGGTTCCCTCTGGATATATATCCAGGAGTGGAAATGCTGGATCATATGATAAGTCTATTTTTAGCCTTTTAAAGAATCTCCATACTATTTTCCCTAATGCCTGCACCAAACTGTATTCCCACCAACTGTGTAGAAGGGTTCCTTTTTCTCCAGCATTTATCAGCATTTATCATTTGTGGACTTTTCAATGATAGATATTCTGACTGGTGTGAGGTGATACCTCATAGGAATTTTGATTTGCATTTCTCTGACAATTAGTGATAATGAGCATTTTTTCATGTGCCTATGGGCCATTCGTAGGTCTTCGTGCTTGTTTAGGTCTTCTGTCCATTTTTGGATTAGGTTGTTTATTTCTTTCTTATTAAGTCATATGAGCTGTTTATATATTCTGGAAATCAAGTCCTTATGAGTTTCATTTTTGCAAATATTTTCTCCCATTCTGTAGGTTGTCATTTAGTTTTGCTTATGGTTTCTTTTGCTGTGCAAAACTTGTAAGTCTAATTAGGTCTCATTTGTTTATTTTTGTTTTCATTTCTATTAGTTGGTAGACTGCCCTAGGAGAACATTGCTGAGATGTATGTCATATAATGTTATGCCTATGTTTTCTTCTAAATATTTATTGTGTCTTGTTTTATATTTAAGTCTTTAAGCCATTTTGAGTTTATTTTTGTGTATGGTATGAAGGAGTATTCTAACTTCATTGATTTACATGCAGTTGTCCAGTTTTCATAACTCCATTTGCTGAAGAGACTGTCTTTATTCCATTGTATGTTTTTGTCCCTTCTGTCAAAGATTAATTAACCAAAAGCTTGTAGGTTCATTTCTGGGCTCTCTGTTTTGTTCCATTGAAACATATGTCTGTTTTTATACCAATACCATGCTGTATTTATTGCTGTATCTCTGTATTATTGTCTGAACCCTGGGAGGGCTATTTCTCTAGCTTCATTCTTTGTATTCAGTAATGCATAGGCAATTCTGAGTCTTCTGTAATTCCACAAAAATTTTAGTATGATTTCTTCTAATTCAGTGAAAAATGTCCTTGGTACTTCGATAGGGATTGCAATAAAGCTGTAGATTGATTGGGCAATATGGCCATTTTAACAATATTGATTCTTCCAATCCAAGAACATGGAATATCTTTCCATTTCCTCAAGTCATCTTTAATTTCCTTAATCAATATTTTGTAGTTTTCCATGTGTAAGTCTTTCACTTCCTTGGTCATATTTATTCCTAGGTATATTTTTGCTTTGGGTGCAATTTTAAAGGGGATTGTTTCTTTACATTCTTTTCCTGTTGATTCATCATTAATCTAAAGAAATGCAACTGTACATTAATCTTTCATGTTTTAGCTTGCTGAATTATTTTATTAGCTCTAGAAGTTTTTGTGTTGATCTTTTAGGGTTTTCTCTATATAGTATCATGTTGTCTATATATAGTGACAATTCTATCTCTTCTCTTTCAATTTGGATCCTTTTATTTATTTATTTTTTCTTGCCGGGTTGCTGTGTCTAGGCCTTTCAAGTCTATATTGAATAGGAGTTGTGAGAGTGGACAACCTTGTCTTGTCTCAGAGTTTAGTGGGAATGTTTTCAATTCTTCACCATTGAGTACCTTTCTGGCTATAAGTTTGTCATAAATAGCTTTTATTATGTTAAAATATGTTTCTTTTATACATACTTAAGTGAAGATTTGTATGATAAATTGGTGTTGAATTTTATCAAATGTCTTTTCTGCATCTATTGAGATGATCATGTCTTTTTGTCTTTCTTCTGTGGATATGGTGTATCACATTGATTGATTTGTGAATGTCCAGCCATCCTTGTGTTCCTGGGATGTACCCAACTTGATCTTTGTGTATGATCTTTTCTATGTGCTGTTGGATTCTGTTTGCTAATGTCTTGTTGAGGATTTTTGTGTTTATGTTCATCAGTGACATTGGACAGTAATTTTCCTATTTGGTATTGTCTTTGGTTTTGATATCAGGGTGATGGTGGCTTCATAGAATGAGTTTGGGAGTAATCCTTATCAATTTTCTGGAATAGTCTGAAACAGACTGGTATGAGTTCTTCTTTGTACGTTTGGTAGAATTCCTCAGTAAAGCCATCTGATCCTGGACTTTTGTTTGTAGGGAGGTTTTTTATTGCTAATTCTATTTCATTTCTAGTGATCGGTTTGTTCAAGTGGTCATATTCTTCTTGATTCAGTCTTGGCGGTCTGTATGTTTCCAGGAACTTGTCCATTTCTTCTAGGTTATCTGATTTGTTTCCATATTGTTGTTCATAGTATTCTTGTATGATATTTTGTATTTATGTGGTATTGGGCGTAAATTCTCCATTTTCCTTTCTTATTTTGTTTGTTTTTGTTCTCTTTCCTCTTCTATGTGAATTTGGCCAGAAGTTTGTCAATTTTATTTACTCTTTTAAGTATCAGCTCTATGCTTGATTGATTTTTTCTATTCTTTTTAAAATCTCTTTTTCATTTGTTTCCTCCCTGATCTAATTTTATTATTTCCTTAAGTTCTGCTTAATTTTGGTCTTGTTTGCTCTTTTTGTTTTCTACTCCTTTTAGCTGGCAAGTTACATTAGTTATTTGAGATTGTTCTTCTTTTTTGAGGAAGGGTTCTATCACTATGAACTTTTCTCTTAGGACTGCTTTTGCAGCAGCCCATAGATTTTGTGTGTTTGCGTTTTAATTGTCATTGTCTCAAAGTATTTTTTAATTTCTTTTTTGAGATCATCATTGACCCATTAGGTTTTTTGTAGCATGTTGTTTAATCTTCATGCTGTTATTTTTTTTTTCTCCTTTGTTTTTCTGTAGTTGATTTCTAGTTTCATGGCATTATCTTCAGAAAAAAAATGCTTGAAATAATTTCTGTTTTCTTTAAATTGTTGAGGCATCTTTTGTGACTAAGTACATGATCTATCCTAGAAATTGTTCTATGTGACTTTGAAAAGAAGGTATATTTGATTTTTTAGGGATGTAATGTTCTGAACATATCAACCGAGTCTAATTTTTCTATTGTGTCATTTAGTTTCTCCATCACCTTATTAATTTTCATTCTGAAAGATCCAGTGCTATTAATGTGATGCTAACGTTTCCTACTATGTTTTATGTATTTATGTGCTCCTATATTGGGTGCATATATGTTCGAGTAAAATATCCTCATCTTGTATTGTTCCTTTAATCATTATATAGTGTCCTTTTTATCATTCTTTATGGCCTTTGTTTTAATGTCTATTTTTTTTCTGAAATCAGTGTAGCTATTCCTGCTTTCTTGTAATTTCTGTTTATATGGAATATTTTTTCCATCCTCTCACTTTCAGTCCATGTGTGTGATTTTCCCTATGATGGGTCTCTTATATGTAGCACATTGTAGTTTCTTGTTTTATTATCCAATCTGCCACTCTATGTCTTTTTTATTGGAGCATTTGTTCCATTGACATATACAATAATTATTGATAGATGTTTGTTTATTGCCATTTTAATATTAGTTTTAAGGTTGATTTGGTTTGCCTCTTTGTTCCCTTCTTTTTCTTTTTGTGGTTTGATTATTTTCCTTTGCATTATCTTGGTTTCTTTTTGGTTTTTGCAAATCCACTGTAAGATTTTGTCTTGTGGTTACACTGTTTTGTACATATATTAACCCATTACTATATCCATTTGTTTTAAACTGATAGTCATATAAGCTCAAACCCATCCTATAAAGAATAAAAAGAAAAAGAAAAAAATATCTTTACTTTCTGGCTCCCCTATCACACCCTTAATGATTTAGATGTCATATTTTGCAATTTCATATATATTTTCTGTGACTCATTGTAGTTATTGCCTATCCAATTATGGTTTCTCCTTTCTGTTGCATCCTCCTTCTTTTCTACTTAGAGTAGACCTTTCAATATTTCTTTTAGTAGAGATTTATTTTTGCTGAATTTTTTTAGTTTTTGCTTTTCTGTGAAATTCTTTATGTCTCCTTCTGTTCTAAAAGATAGTCTTGCTGGATAAGTATCTTAGATTGCAGCTTTTTGTTCATTCAGGACTTTGAAAATGTCTTGACACTCCCTTCTGACAAGCAGTGTTTGTGTAGAGAAATGAACAGAAAGCCTTTTGGGAGTTCCTGTGTTACTAACTCTCTGTTTCTATCTTGTTGTCTTTGGAATCATTTCTTTATCTTTAAATTTGGCCATCTTGATTGTAATATGTCTTGGTGTGGGTCTTTTTGGGGACCCTCTGTGTTTCCTGTACTTGGATATCTGATTCCTCCTTTAGGCTTGGGAAATTTTCAGTCATGATTTTTTCAAATACTTTTTCAATACCCTTTTCTCTGTTTTATACTTCTGGGACCCCTATTATCTGTTGGTTGGCTTCTTTATATTATCATATAGGTCCCTTATATTGTTTTCATTGCTTTTTTAATTTGCTTTCCTGTCTACTGTATTGTTTAGTTGACCTCTGTTATCCTGTATTTTGTGTCACTTATTCATTCCTCTGCATTGCCTATTCTATTTTGACAGCCTTTATGCCTTTATCTTGGCTCTTACCTCTGCCATTGAACTTTCTGTTTTTAATTGGCCTCTCTTTATAGTTTCAATTTCCATTTTGAAATAATCTCTGTTTCTATTCACAATCTCTCTTAGTTCTGTCAGTTTTTTGATAGCTCCTTTATTTAAATCATGATCTAGTAGACTATCAAGGCCTATTTTATTGATCTTTCTTTCTTTTGTTCTTTTAATGGGGAGTGGTATCTCTGCTTCTTCATTTTCTTTCTATCTCTCTGGAATTATGGATTATGGTGTATCAGTTATCTACTGTGCTCCTGAAGGGATTTATTTATTTATTTATTTGTTTGTTTGTTTATTTATTTATTTATTGTTTTATTGTTTTATAGAGGATGTGTAACTAAAACAAACAAAATCCAAACATCTATGAGAACAAAACAATTAGAAGATTTAAACAAAAAAATGTAGTAAATTTTTTTAAAAAATTAAGAAGAGAAAAAATTTAAAAACCAGCTTAAAATAAAAATTAAATAATTAAAATAAAAACAAAGAAAATAATTTTTTTATATTTTAAAAGAAAATATTGAAAACAGAATATAATAAATAACAGAAAAAAACAAAATTAAATAAAAATCAAATTGAGACAATTTCAAAATAATAAAAATTTTAAAATGAAAAGAAAGTTTTAATATGATTCAATAATAAAGAAATTAAAACACTAAAAGTAAAAATTAAAAAAGAAAATATAAAAGAAAGAAAAAAAAGGAGAAAATTTTCTTGTGTAGACTGGATACTCCTAATAATCTTGTCTGTTTTAAGTATGAGTGTTTGCCAGTTCTACCTTCTGTGCCTTTTGGCAGTTATCCCTTTGGTTGAGGGTGTGGCTATGTGGTGGCCAGAGCTACTCTGGTTATTAAGGGGGCCTTCTTTTTGTTCTGTTATTGTTGCCACTCCTGCTCTTTCCCTGCTCTGTAAACTTCACTCTCTTGTTCTAGAGGCCTTAGAATTACACCCCCAGTCTGTGCTGCTCCCAGCATCATGTGCCAGTACCATGTCTGCTCAGGGTTTGGGGGCAGATCATGTCCCCTCCTAGTGTCTTATCTTTGCACTGTAGTTGGGCAGGTTGCATCCAGTTCAGTGCTGCTCCCCATACTGCTCCAGGCTAGGTAGGTGAGCTTGTAGAAAAGGGCCACATCAGCCCTCAGCCCTGTTGTGTGCCAGAACTTCATTCCTTGTTTTGTGTCTTAGTGGTGCATGTCCACACAGGCAGCAGAGCAGAAAGGTCACCTCTACCTGGGGCTGTAAATAAATCTCAGTTCTGCTTATGAGGTTGCAGACCCCTTGGGTGGGGATTTGGGACTCAACCCCACCTGTGTCTGGGAGCTTAGCACAAGGGAATATGTTGGCTGTGGCTAAACTCCACCTCTCTTCTCCTGAGAATGTGCCAGCAATGGTGCTGCAGGTCTGTGGAGACAAAGACCACAGCACACCTCCTCCAGCTCACACTAGCAGTGTCGCTTTGTTTTTTATTTTAATTTCATGATGAACCCAGGCTATTCTGTTCTGTATACCCTCCCAGGCATGGTACACAGCACACTCCAGTTCTCTGATGTTGCCTCTGCACAGGTGGCCATGAGACAGGAGGGAAGGGGGCAGGGTACAACCATTCAAGGAAAGACAGTAATTAACACCAAGATAGCAAAAGATTCAACTCCCAGTAGGCCTTGAGGATTAAGATGTTGAGAGATTTGACTTCTAGTAGACCTTGAGCTTCACATGCTCATTGTGACATATTAGCATGATAAATAGCAATGCTTACAGGAGCCATGACAGCCAAAGCTAACCACAGAAGGTCAAAGTGTGGGTGGTGGCCAAGTTCCTGGGAATTCCAGTCCCTTCCTCAGGGTAGCTGGAATAGTCCTCCCACTTGTAAGTGTGGAGCTACTGAGACATAAAAACTGCCAACACCATGCCTCATAATCTCCTCTTGCTTCCCAATCTTTGGAGATGCCCGGCACTCTGCCTATGGAGTGTGTAAATACATATACTTCAACCTGAGCACCCAACCCCCACACCTCTTGGTCTTTCTCCTGCCTTTTGAAGCAGCCTACACTCTCTGTAGTATGTATCTCTCTAAATAAATCTACCTCTACTCAACTGTGGCTCACACTTGAATTCTTTCCTACATGAAGCCAAGGACCCACCCTTTTAGGGGCACATTCCAGGGGCTCCACCAAGACCAGGGACATGGCCCTCTTTATGCCCCACACCTGTTTTTCCTGCATCAGCCCCAGTTCTCTGTCTAGCTTGGGCAGCCCATCCTGTGCCATCTTTGCCAGATCACATCCAGCACTGGAGGTCACTGGGATACTTTGTGCCCATTTCACTTAGTTCTGTCAGTCAAGGGATGTTCTGTATAGATCCAAGCCTCTGAATTTCTCCCTTCATCCCACTGACCACTCCGTTGGAGAGGAGCAGAGCCAGTGTAGGAGTGTTATTCCTCCTTTGCCATTCCCTCTCCATAGGACTGGTCTGCACTAATTTCCTTTTTCTTCTTTTTGCCTTTTCTCCTACCAGATTTGTGGCAAATTTTGCCTTTTAAAGAAGGTGATATTCCCTCAAAGTTCAGCAAGTATTCTCAGTGATTTGGTGGTTCCATGGGTGTCTCTCTTGGTGTATTCTTGGGAAAGGGTTAGCTAAGGGTGTCCTTCTACTCCACCATCTTGGTCACCCCCTTCTAATTCTATTAATAATCCTACAAAACCTGTGTTACACTGCAGAGCTAAACAAGAGAAATTCGATTGTTTAACATGCCAAACAGCTAAAATTAGAGTATTGCTTTCCATTCCTATGCAACAGAAATAACTTTTACCCATTAATTCTACATTTACAGTCTTGGGGTTAGTAATTAGAAGATATACTTCAGTGAATTGTTCTTTTTCTCTGGGTTGTGAATATAACAATGTTTTAGGTATTATAAAACAAGTTTTACTAATAAAAACACCCAGATATTATGTAAAACTTTGCCCTTTGATCTCATCTGAAAATGAAACTTTATTGACTGAATTTCAACCAGTTAAATGGTAAATTCTATTTTAATTTATTATGTTCTAGTCATTGAAAACAATAATAAAAATGACACTGTGATAGTTTAATCTTACCAAGGATTTCCATAAACCCTTCACTATCCCACCTTGATTGGGTCTCTCTAATGCCTAGACATTGACCATTAAAACTTCAGATTCTGTAGTGATATAGACATTAAGTATAGGTTGAGTGTACAAGCCCTTAATCAGTTTGTTGTCTGAGAGATGTTCCTTCAGTCAAGGAATGTATCCAGTCCACATCTGGATACCTTTCTTATTTTTCCAAACTATTTGCCAGCCATAATAAGCTTTCTGTAGGAGCTTTTCATCCAATATTAATATTTCCATTAGCAAGTCTTCTTCATCATGATCCCAAGCCTCTAAAAATGCCACTTTGGCTTTACTCTGTATTCCAAATCCAGTCCCCAAGGTTTTCATTTTTGATGATCTCTTGAAGCCAAAGCTGTCCAAATTCCATAATGTTGTTGCCATCAGATGCCTATGGCATGTGTATAGTTTGAATAAACAGTATTCCACCCAAAGTATATGAACTATATGGCCTCACAAAATTGTTAATTGGCCATATCCTATTTTCAAGAATTTGAGTCTGGATATGTCAGCAGACTCTCCATAAGAAGCCTTTTAGGATATCCAAAGGATATTCATTTGTGGTATGCTGCCAAAATATTATTACTCTCCTTAGGCAATTCAGGTTCTGCTTTCTTTACATCTCAGGTTTCACATTCACATTTAGTGTTATTAAAAGAGCAGAATGTTTTCTTCTCTACTGTTCAGGTGGCTAAAATCTACTTTCAACTCTATGCAAACAATGCCTCAGCAAATCCTCATCCTGATTCACAGATGTACAGGATGCAGATGTTTACTCTTCAACATCTTCTATTCTAAGTGAAATAAAAATTATCTTTCCTAAGTTGCTTATCTCACAATCCATGAGATAAATATGAGAGGAGTTTCATATTCCCATGTTCCTTCTGTCAAGAGGTTCGTTATTTCTAAAGTCTACACTCAAGGGTTTCTCTGCTTTAGGACTGAGAATGTTAGATATACTCAAACAATACTTTCTCTTTTACCTACCATAAGACCTGGACTCTACCTTTAAAAATCAAAGATTGTTCATTTGAGAGTTGTTTTAGTTTTTTCTTGCTGCCCTAACAAGTTAGCTACAAACTTTAAGTTATAAAGCCACTAAAATTTACTTATAGTTCTGAACGTCAGATATCTGAAATGTATTTTGGAGCTAAAATTATAGTGTTGGTAGGGACAGCCTTCTTTCTGAAAGCTCTCACTTTTTCTAACTTCTAGAAATTAATTTTGTTTCTTGACTCTTAGTTTGTCTATCTTCAAATTCAGCAGTCACATCGTGCTAAAATCTACTTCAGCCATCACATTTCCTCTTCTGGCTCTAACACTTCCTCTTCCTACAGCCCACTTATAAGGAAACATGAGATTATAGGGAAACCCACTTTAAAATCTTTCAATGATCACACCTGCAAAGCCTCCTTTGCCAGCACAGGTCACAGGTACTAAGGATTAGTATGTTGAATCTTTAGGGAGACATTATTCTGCCTACTACAAAAGGCATATTAAAACAACAGGAAAAACTTCATAAGAAGAATTTCTGTCTTATTTATTTCATAGATAATTTGTTTGATTTAGGACATTTCTCCTCATTCTTTGTAGACATTTGGCCTTGACACAATTGTCAAGGGCCTGAATTATTGTTTACAATGGCTTTTGTTCCTATCTCTCAGTCTGATTCTGTGTTTCAAAATGACTTTTCTGCACATAAGACTTTCATCATATTTTAAAATAGAAGACAGTATCTTCCTGTCACTGGATCCTTAGCATTACTCTTTTTTTTTGAAATTATTTTTAATAATTTTCATTTAAAAACATATTGTCTTCTTCCCGACTTCTACCATCATGTAAAAATAATATTATATTTCTCTATTAAAATTTTTATGTTTTACAAGATTAAGGTTTTAATTCTCATAATTTATTTTTACAATGATTTATTGGTTTTATAATTATTTCCAGATTACTGGTTAACTTTAAAATACTATATTTTTTTAAAATTCAATTAATTAATCTGTGGAAATTTGAAATATTTCTGAAAAAGTAAAAGCACAAAATATTAATCTCTTTATATTGTTGAATTTTACCTTACTTCTTATATTTATACATTATAGAATGTGGATTAGCAATAAATAAAAATATCTTTAGATGAAATTAATATTTTTATTTTTGACTCAAATTTTGTAAATTAATATGAAATGTATGTTTACAAGAATAAAATTGTGGTAAAAAATAAAATTCCTGGTTTTCCTTTTTTTTTTCTTTTGCCTATTATAAATAAAATTGTTAATTTGTTTACCAATTTAAGGTGATATTCAATATAATATTTGAAATTTTACTAGATATAATAGTTATAATGATATAGGAACTAGGGAGGAAAATAAATATGATCTTTCTATTTTATAAGGAAAATATTTCAACTTATTGAGATAAAATGTATTATAATATCTATAATACTATACTGTGAAGCTAATTACATTAAATAGTAAAATACTTTAAATTTTTAATCTCAATTTGTAATTATATATTGGTATACATCTAATGACATATATTTAGAGCTATCTTTAGATTATTTTAAAAAAAGAACAACAAAAATCTCACACATTTTTACATGGATGTTATTTGAGAGGAGACAAATAAGAATCTTTTTTTCATTTTATAACATGAGTTGTCATCTTATGCACAGAAAAATTTGTATTTTATCAAGGAAATTTGTTAAATTTCTAAGTTTTATAATTGTTATATATTATTGCAGATTTTGAAAATCTTGATTGTAGATTGTTTGTATTTTTGTTTTCTCTCTAATAACTAGTCCTCATTTTAGCATTCCCAACAAAGTTTTCAAACTTAGAGCATAAAACTCATAAAATGTATTTTACATGTGAATTCTTTCAGAGATTTTTGGAATGACATGAACACTCATAAATTGTTAATGGGAATATAAAATGATATACCAAATTTGTAAAACAGTTTGGAGGTTTCTTACAAACTTGCATTACCATATGACTTTACAATCACAATTCTATATATTTGACCAATGAAATAAAAGTCTATACTTATACACATGCACACACAGACACACACTCACACAATTATTGAATGTTTTCAACTGCTTTTATTAATAATTACTAAAACTGGAAACAACTCAAATGTCTCAGTAAAGGAATAAATAAACTATAGTATAACCAATTATATTATCTTCGGCAATAAAGGGGAACAAACTTTTGATAAACATAATAATATACATGAACTTAAATAAATTTTGCTAAATAAAACAGGGTTCAAAGTCCATGTACGTTATGAATCCAATTTTATCACATACTGCATAAAACAAAATTTTAATGAAGTATAAAAGATCAGTGATTGCCAGTGCTTAAGAATAGAGGTAATTTGAATTATTATTAAGTAAGTAGCAGAAGGTGGTTGTTTTAGTGATTATTGAATTGTTTTCTCTATCTCAATAGCAGTAATGGTTACATTTATCAAAACTCATAGAACTGTATATCAAGAGTAAATGTACAATTTTTTAAATAAACATTTTAAACAATTTATATGTGTATATGTATTTTTGTGCTTTATATATAAAATATATATCACTATATGTTACATATATATCCTCAAAACTACTATAGAATAATACAAAGTGATATAGACAAATAAGCCAATGTCTAAATTGAAGTGAACCACTACAAATATGCAAATAATCTCAATGGAAGTCAGGAAAGGGGAAACAAAAGATCAAAAACAAACCAGGCAAGTAAAAAACAAGTGAAAAAGATGATACACCTAAATCCAACCATATTAATAAATATTTAAATGAAAGTGATCTAAACACACAACTTAAAAGACAGATTTTCAGGATGAATACTGCTCAACTATGTGATGTAAATAAGATTAATATTTTAATAATGAAAATTATATTGATAAAATAAAAACACTAAAAGTGATATACTATATAAATATAAGCCAAAGAAAGCTGAAATGGTTCTATTGTGTCAACGATGTAACCATTAGGACATGGAAAACCATGGATAAAAGGGCTATTAAAATTTATTAAGGGTAATTTTACCAAGAAAATATAATAATTTTCAACATTTATGCACCTAACAAAACAGTTTCAAAGTACATGAAGTAAAAACTGCTAGAAATTTGAAGGGAGAAATTTACAAGATAAACACCTCTTAGTAATATATAGAACAAGTAGGTGGAAAATCATGAAGAATATAAACTTCAGCATCTCTATCAGCCAACTTGATCTAATTGATGTGTGTATAACACTTCATCCAGCAACAACAACTTGCTTTCCTTTGTTCATTGGATGTTATAATAGAGTAACCCATGGAGAAGATATGATTAATAGGCTAAAGAAACCTCTAATGCAACCTGGACTTGAGGACTAATGGTTTAGCTCCATTAAACAAGAGAAGAAATTGTGCAAAAATGCATGCCATATCAATCAGTAAAATATTTTTAAACATTTTTTATTGATTTATAATTATTTTACAATGTTGTGTCAAATTTCAGTGCAGAGCATAATTTTTCAGTTATATATGAACATATATATATATTCATTGTTACATTTTTTCTCTGTGAGTTACCATAAGATCTTGTATATATTTCCCTGTGCTATACAGTATAATCTTGTTTATCTATTGTATAATTTAGTAAAATATTAATTATCACTTTGTTTAGTCCAAATTTGATAGCAGATTAGAGCTTTGCCTATTCCCTTTTCATAAATACATACTTGTCACCTACCATGGTCTTGTACTCACTAGTTGGCTAAGTGATCATAGGACCAACACCAATGCATTATTTAAAAATACATCTGACACAACATTGTAAAATGATTATAAATCAATAAAAATGTTAAAAAAATTGTAGAATAGATAAACAATATTATACTATATAGCACAGGGAAATATATACAAGATCTTATGGTAGCCCATGGAG